TACACGACGATTCATTCATCTGCATCAAAGCTTCAGTCTGGCAGTTGTGGGTGGCAGAATGGTGGGTTTGTGGTAGCTGTGGTGCCCACAAATTAAGTGAGACAAAGTTTGCAGGACAATGCAGCATACTTTAACAAAGGAGTGGGATATTGCAAGAGAGCAAACCAAAGCAGGCCACAAGCCCATTAAAGCATGCTTGGCTTTTGCTCTGTTCTGCAACTTCAGTGTCACCTCTCCTTTCTTTTATACCATTTCTGTTATTTATTTGCAGGAGGTCCATTATTGGACCCATATTAGTTGGCTACTACATGACCACTAAGGTGGTACCTGATAGCAGTGGTAAAACTGCAAACATGAATACGTTCACGTTACTTTCATTCCTTAAGTGAAGTTAAAAGCATACCTTGGTAAGCCTCGCTTTTTTTCTTTTCCCTGTTTACTCTCCTTTTTTTCTTTTTTTGTCACTAGACTCAACTTGAGCAGCTGCCTGGCTCCTAGTCCTGGGATCATCACTGCTACCCCTTCTTTTGGGCTGGCACAAGTACCGCTTGGCCTCTTGGTAGAGGAATTGGTACAGCTGGGATGCAGACAAATCTAGCAGGAGTGGGAAGGGGAGGACTGGGAGCCGGCTATTTAGGCTGCCTTTCCCAGCACTGCTGCCAGACATCAAGCCACAAGCTAGGTCTAAGACTTGCCCTTCCTTCTCTTCAAAAAAATCCTGCTCGTGGACCTGCTGCCAGGGAATTTAATTCAGGGCTCTAGACCGGAGCCCTAAGAGCAGCACTTGTGTAGATGCCCCGTTTGGAATAGCAGGCTCAAGCCCTGCCGCGAACGCGAGGAGGCACAGCTTTTCTTGGACCCGCTCTCACAGCTGTGCCTTCGGGGACTCTTTCACAATTGCCACAACCTGGCACGCTCTGCCGGACATTTCTGGCTGCACACCTCCGATGCTGCAGGCGCACACACACAGAACGTACATCTTCCTGCGGGGTGGGGGATTTTCGGGAGTACTCGGGTGTGTTCAGCTGGAAGGGAAATAGCGTGAAACCTGCAAGTTATTCACAATGGGGAACAGCAGACCTGCGGCCACGTGCGTTGCGTGAGGCTGAAACCACAGCTCCTGCTGGTGTTGGCTGGCTCTGGGGAATGGGTGGCCACAGGGTCTCCGTCAGCAGCAGCTTTGCTTGCCACCCCGCGCTGAGCACTGACTGCACCAGCTCAGCCTGATCTGCTGCCCTGGGAGAGAACGAGTGTCTCACCTCATGTATTAACTTCATGATGCTGCACTGTGGGGTGGAAAACAAGCATTTGACGATGCCTAGTGGACCTGAAGAAATAATCTATCTTAGGAAGGTGAAAGCTTGGAAAGAAACTCTCAACTCTTACATCCAACAGGAACTTTAAAACCCTGCAGGAGAAAGTTCCACTTAATTTGAGACTCAGCAAGCACCAGCCCTGCCAGCTCATACGTCCCATTGTAAGCCCAACTATGATGCCACATAGCAGAGTACTCCGTGTCTTGCACGACCACCTACTTGCATTAATAGACCAGTTAAACAAATCCAGCTGATGAGTCTAAGGCTAAGACAACAGCCAGCAAGGGGTGAAGCAATGGTGATATCTCTTCCCTACCGCTGACAGAAGGTGCAGAAGTGCACCTCCAAGCATCCTCTCCTCCCTACCTCACGTATAGAGTGACAAAAGAGGAATGAACACTCCTTCTCTTCTCATTTTTAGTATTTTGAACACCTGAAGTGTTAGGGGATGAAGGGAAAATGTTGCAGTATCTAGGACAGGCATAGAAGTTTGCAAGGTCATTGCTCATACAGTGTCATACAGTGTGTAAAAATGTCCTTAATGTTAGGAATATACAAAGGCTGACAAAAGGGGACTGATGTTTTTCATTCACAGGCATGAATCCTAATCCCAAAGTGACGCCAGCCTGTGCAGATGTACTTGTTAGGACTTCAGGGCTTTGTCCAGTGGGGTCCTGAGCCCCTCCAAGGATGGAGCCTGCACAGCCTCCCTGCACAGCCTGTTCCCAGGCTCATTTCACTGTCCTTGGCGTCAAAAGGCTGCAGTTGTACATGCCTTAAATCTTACAGTGGTATTCTGACTCCTCGGGTGAGGTGTATAACAGTCTTTAGGAACTCATTAAGCAGAAAGGCATCCAGTGGGTTGTCTAGGCAAGTCAAACTGACTTCAGCGGAAAGTCTGACCTGCTTGGAAGTCCCCTGAGAGGGAGTAAGATCTTTACACACCCCATCCCAGTCAGCTTCTGAGTGGGTGACAGAACAGAACTGAAAAGTTTGCTCCACTGTTCATACTGATTCGGAAAGGCAGCTACAAGCTGCCCTGGGAAAGAGGTTACTCTTTCTTTTTTTTTTTCCCCTTGCCATAATTGTAGAAAACAAGGAGGTACAGATGCGGGACTGCAAGCGCCCTCTACGGAGGTGCACCACAGTTGCTGAACTGAATCACTGTCATTACTGTTGTGCAGAGGAGTCTAACTCTCTTTAATGTCCTTCTGACCAGCCACCTCCTCCAGTTTCTCATCTCTCCCTGTCTTTTACTGCTATTCCAAAGTACTGCTAGTACCGTTAGGTCCCAGTGGTTCAGCTGCATTTCTTGACCCTGGCTGCCAGAAGTTGTTCTGTTCCCTCTTTTCTTTCCACATCACTTCACAAGTGGTGATTAGTTGTAATGTTCTTTCTTTTTTAAAAAAAAAAAAAAAAAAAAAAAAAAGAGGCTGATGAGACAGGTGTAGCACCCCAAAATCAGGCACACAATGAAAACAAATTAACTGACTTCCAGAAAAACATAACATTCATGAAAAAACCCTAACCCTCTAAATCATGGCTGGACATTCTAGGTCTCTCAATAGGCTAACCAGCTGTGATGTTTTTTCTGGGTTCTTACTTAAACAGGTAATATAACCCAGTCATAAAATACCTATATGTGTCCAGACTCAGTGCACAATACCCTTTTATATCTGTATTTTCAAACTCCCAAGCTTACTGCTTCTGCTGTTGGGTGATATTTTGCCATTTGCCTGCAGAGTCTGAACAATGAAAAGTAATCTTGTTTGTACTCTGTGCTACTTTACATAATCACATAAAATGGTGACAATGTGTTTATTTTATGTGGGACATTTCAATCTGGGGATTATTCAGCTTAGTAAAACAAAGGGGGGGGAGGGGGGCTGGTTCCAGACCTCTCAAGTCAGACACCCTAAAACTCCCTCTTTAAAAGAATGACTCTCTCTGAAATACTTCTCTCTTCAGCTGCCACCATGGCAGTAAGTTAGCAAAGCCCTCTTCCTCTCCCCTCCCCCAAAAAACTGAACAGGTTTTCCACCAAAGTTCTGCTGTGGAGGTAAATTCTCAGTGCCTTTCTGCAGGGATCTGTTATTAGGTGTTGGCAGCTATAAATGCAGAATAAGCTGACTGAAGCAGATCTTGCCTGTTCAGACCCTTCCCTGGGGGTTACCAGCCGTGCTTCAGGATGCCCAAATATGATGTGTTGTCATTTCTGAACTGCTGCAGGTTGCAATTCAGTTTGTTAGAAGACCCTGAAACTAGCAATGGTTTAATAAAGTTGATGGTAAATTGCTGTTATTCAAGAGGTACTCTTTGAACCATCTTCGCTTGTTCAGAAGAGAGACAGGAGAGCAACACACACAATTTCCTTAGATTCAGGCATCCCGATTTATACAGCCCCTGTGCTGCTAATCAGGTCACTCAACAGTGCTGTTAAAATGCCCCGTAAATACAACTGTCATAGCTACAGGAAGAAGTATTCATAGTTTTGCTTCTTTGATTTGTTTTTTAGGACACAATACCAATACCCGTAATGGTTGCCTTCTGTTTGCCATATAAAAATATTCCTGAGCACTTTTTTTTCTCTGCGGCATGCCTAGTCTGTTGAGATTTTGTGTGCTTTAAAGGTTTATGTAAACTTGGAAGTGAAAATCTGCTCAGATATTTGATGGCCTCCCTCTAGTGGCTGTTATTGGGGAATAAAAATAGGGCTGTGATGAAGTGATCCCCAAGGTTACGTGCATTAACCATTATATGAAGACGAAAGGAAACATACTTGGGAAGAAGACTTATGCCATATCAAAATACGACACAGAATTACTGAGTTATTGCCAAAGCTCAGTTACTGCTCTTTCAGTCCTGAAAATATTCATCTTGCTACTTCATTCCCTGCTTTTCATTTCTCTCTCTGTGTCCTTACACATGATGATCTAAGGACACTGGTGGGCCAAAATCTGCATGTAGAGAGGTTTTTTTATTTTATCCAGTTCTGTTAATTGGCCAAGTAAGGCAAATACACAAGCCCCCGTTTTTCAGATGTGGAGAAGGGCTCTGGTGCCTTCAAAGCCTATCGGATTTTTCTAACCACACCCATTGATGTAGTAATAGATGCTGTCTTCTCTTATAAACCTTGTCCCAACACATATTTAAAGAACAGGTAAGATCTGAGAAGTGCAGTGTCTTTATTCCATTTCCAGTGCTTTTCCATCAGTGCTCCGCGGTAAATATCAGTATCTTTGACAAAAGTGTATCTGTATGTATAGCCAGCAGTTGTGGTCCTGCTTTTAATATCTTGCTCACTGAGACTCATTACCTTTTTGCTTACCAAATGTGCACACTTGCCTTTTAGACAGAAGAAGTGCCAGAGATGCATGACTGTTTACATTTTTATAGAACAAGATAGAAATGACAGTGCAGCAATGCAAAAGTTGCCCATTAAAAATGGCAAAAGTGGAATGCTCCTCCAGCTGCAATAGGAGCTTTACCCTGCTGTCTCTTTTTGGATCTCTTCTGCTTTGGCCTCCAGGTGTTAACGGTAAGATGAGGTTTGCAGGCAGGGTGAGACAAGCCGACTGGAGCTGCATCTACAGAACATCCCAAAGAAACCCATCTCACGAGTTTGTCTTTCTGGCACAGCAGAAATTAAGATTGCTGCCGCCGCCGCTGCTGCTGCTGCTATTCTCTTGACTGCTGGAATTGATGTCGTAGCCTGGGGTTTTGCTAGCTAAAAGTACCAGTTGGGTTCCACCGGAACCTCGCTCTGGGATAAGGTTCTCTGCCGATGTCTCAGTTCCAGGCACTCCACAGTCAAGGGGTATGTTTTAAGCTCAAACTTATTTGCAAACATACAGGTGGAGTTAAAAAGCCACTTGAGGTCACCTGTTCCGTACACACAAATGCCTCTGACATAATGGCCTGCCAAAAGAAAAAGGAAAAAGCAATTTCAGAATGAAGGATCTGAATAATTATTTTTGCGAAGTTTTATCTGCAAAGCCACTATAAATAATCTCCCACACAACAAACATGCTAAAAGGCCTACTGGACATCCAATGGGAATAAGTATGAGTAATGGGATGAAAGGAAGAAAGTTACATCGGAATAGATAGTAAGCAAAAAAAGGAGATGGCTCAGAAAGGAAGTGTTACTACTTGAGACTCTTTCTCAGAGAAGGATGAAACATAGCAAATAGGAATTTCCTTCTGTCAGTGAAGAGAAACTCAAACTTTTACAAATACTAGATTTTCCACTACCTAATTCTGGGTGATATTGGTGTAATTTCACTTATTTCAATGTAGTTATGCCAATGTAAAACTGCTATAATTGAAACTGACTGAAGTTCTCAAAATTTTTCTCCTCAACACAAACAACTATATTCTGGATTAAGAATTCTTGAAATAAAATTTGTATTATTAGCATTTTGGCATTCCCTTTCTCGTCCCACTTGGATATGTCAGAATGAGTAGCAGTACATAATGTACAAACCAGTGACTGAAGAATTAAGTGTGCCATACGGATCTACTACTAATGACATGTCATGATGTAACATGAAGTAGAAAAACTCAAAGCTCAACCATGATTGTCAGCCTGCAGTTCCTTAGGTTCCTCATCAGCTGTGGCTCTGGCAGGCATCAGTGCCCAGCTGAGAGCTGGGCTTTGTCCAAGTTCACACAGGACACCTGCCCTGCGCATTGCTGCTGGCTCTAGCGCATCTGCGTCCCAGCGTGGGACATACACGTGGGCTATTCCTACCCACCTGCGAGAAAATTCCCTCGAGGCCTCCAAGAAAACAGTCAGCTAACTCAAGTGAGCCCTAAGTGCTGCCAAATACCCCCCTTTCCAAGGCTAATATATTCTATAAAATTCCTGATGAAGAAGCAACTGTTCCAGCTTTCTCACTGTTTACGTGGCTACTGTCATTCACATATGGACTACAAAGGAGATGACTCCTTTTTAATGTCTTCCTTCCAGTGAAGTGCCATCTAAAGACTATCACATTATGATTAGAGGCTATAACAGTACAGGAACAACAGTCGAGTGTTTTGCACTATATGAACAGGAAGAAGCAGCTTCATCCCCACAGGTGTTCAAGGCCAGGCTGGATGGGGCTTTGAGCAACCTGGTCTGGTGGGAGGTGTCCCTGCCCATGGCAGGGGGGTTGGAACTGAATGATCTTCAAGATCCCTTCCAACCTAAACCATTCTATGATTCTATAAGAATTGGAGAAAAATGTACACATTACCATGACAACCTCCATGGCTCTCTTCCATATCAATCCACTTCACTGCTTTCAGGTCACCTTCCCATAATGCATTGGGCATGGAGCCTGGGACACCTGTAATTAGACAATAGAAAATCAAGTAATTAGTTCTTTTAACAGCTATGTGTTCAGGTTTATGTCCACTCTCTGGGACCTTTCTCCACAGAACTGGGATGAAATACTTAGGAATATGCATCAACAGATGCCTGGCTGCTAGCCTTGTTGTCAAGTTTCTTCATTAAAGCAGCTTTTATGACATAAACAAGATGTCAGCTCAAGAGACCTAGAAAAATAAAATCCCTTTTTTGGCAACAGCCTCAGTATGATACTGCATGCATGTACTCATGTCACCTTCCCAACCAGCACTGTCCTCCAAGGGCTATTTGAACACTGGGCCACCGACACGTAGTACCTTCACATGAATTTAGTGGTCAATACTTTCCTTTTTTTTTTTTTTTTTATTTTTTTTTTTTTTTTTTTTTTTTTTTTAAGAAAAGAGGCTAACAGAACAAATTCAGGCATGACATAACTGGATGGAGTTGTTGAAACTCTATTATAACCTATAATGTTATATAATAATATATGTAAGTCTAGGCAGTTCACAGGACCTTTCTAAGAGATAGACTGGTAAGAGGACCACTCCTCGTCAGTAAATGATCAAGTCCTGCTATAACCTGGCCAACATCCATTTTAAGTAATTAAGGGGGAAATGCTGAATACACAGTGTTTGGAATTTGCTGAAGAGTTAACGGGCAACACGTATGCAATGTGTAGGCAATTGCTGTGAGTCAAGGGAATTTCAGTATCTTCAGCACAAAGCAGCAACTATAACAGACCGTCACCGTGGGCTGAAGTCTTTGGCTTTGAAAGCAAGAGCTGATCAGGTAGATACAGATAGAGAATCCTCTCTGCCTGATCTGTGCTGCAGTATCTTACTCAACTCAGTGAAAGAAGTTTATTGAAGTACCTCCTAAAACGGCCTTCAGAATACAGAAGAAAAAAAACTAAAAAGGAAAAGCAAAGGTACAAAATGGTAAAAGCTTTCTATGAACTCACCCCTTTCAGTAAATTTTATCTTTCTTATTGGCTCAATCAGTTGTTAAAGAACAAAACAATGTTATGGTCGGAGTAACTGCCACCTGATAGACAAACCACTTCGCTAAGAAAAGCTGGAAAAGCCCCAATTTCTCACCGTAGCACAGACACTTGTATATAACTTATTTGCCTGCTTGGAAAAAACTAACCGTCTTTTACTCTTTCCTGCCCAGCAAGCAATGACCAACGCTGTACCTGAGCTGTCAAACGGCAGAACATGCAACGTCTGGGGAGCCAACGTGCATGCCAGCAGATAAAAAAAACACAGACGTTATTTCTGCTTTCTCCTAATGAAGCTGAAAGCAACGGAGAAGACTGACTTGCTCAAACGCAAAGAATTACCGCAGTGTTACTGCAGAGGGGTACCCTGCACTCGAGCTTTTTAACAAACGTAGAAGTGCCACTACTGACTGGTGGCAGTGACCAGTGACCTCCACGGGAAGGAGAGGATTTGTACCGACCCGGCTGCTCCCCCCCCCCCAAGGGGGTGACAAGGCAAACTGGGGCATCGCTGCTCCGTGCTGCTCACGCACCGCTGAAGCTCAGCCCCTACCCCAGAGCCCCCCCTGTAGCGGACAGCCCTCCTCGCCAGCAAAACTCTGCCACTTTCGTCAATCTCTGTTGCACGCACAGGGGGTGGGGAGTCTGACAGTGATGCCAGTATTACATATTATTACTGCTAATAAATACTAATAAACCCGGTAATAGCCTAATCATAGCTGATGCAAAAGGTAAGCTGTTCCAACAGCTAAACATGTTTGAGTGTTTTTCTTTGAGATTTTTAATAGGGATATTTAAAACCTGTTATTCCTGCTTCTTCCCGTTTTCCTTTTAAAGTAAACACTTGTATGAGTGGCAGGAAAGGAACCAGGCAGCTTTTTGTGAGAACACCTTCATAACATTTGTATTATTATCTGTCATTTGTACTAACTCTGTGTACTGAAAAGACAGCCACTTTCCTTGATTTACAGTGAGATGAGAACAAAGCCTTTCAGAGCTTGTACAAAACGTACAATAGCACTGGTTTGGAGCTGTGGGACCTGTACAAAGACAGGGAACCTAAGCCCTTCAAATATGATTTTAAAAAAAATAAAATTGACGTTTTAATCTCCAGTTCTGACCTCTCTCTTTCTTTAAGGCTAATTAGCCCATCTTCCTGATTTTCATAACTTCATTTAAAATGTGTATTAATATAAGCTACTTATTTTGCTGGTTAGCTACAATCCTAAACAGGGTTATTTGCCAGCAGCTCTGTAAAGCACAATTGTACCTGGTGACTGCAGCACACGCAAGAAGCCCCCAGTGCCAAAACAGTAGCTGAGAGTGTGACATCAACACAACCTTGGTGTTTTTTAAAAATGAAAGTGAAAACAAAGTAAGATTTTGTTACTACTTCGTTTTTTTCTGTTCCTTTCTTAGATGGCAACAAGTACAGTACCCCTACAGTTACCATAACCCAACAATTATTTTGTTTGTGAGCTTGAAAAGAAGTGCAGTGAAAGACAAACGAGACCCTAAAGGCACCATATAATGTCAGGTGGGTTTGGGTTTGGAGTTGGGGGTTTTTTTTTGAGAAACTGGATGGGAGAAAGGTTAAACATCAGGGGTTTTTTTTCTGTTCGCTTGCTTTGCTCGGTGTTTTTAAGGATAGCTTGTTCCTGCTAAGTAAGGATGGTTGTTTTCAAATACCGAGTCAGGACTTTTATATCTGATGCAAAACGACCGCATGATCTAACAGCAGAACCACTGTAGCACTTTGCCATAAACAGAGATATGTGGCAGCTATAACCAGAACTTCATGACTTTATTTCTCCCCCTCTGTATATTGGGCTGTTATCAAGTAAAATAACATGCCAAAAAGTGTGGGTTTGTCCTGGGGAAAATTCAGAAAATGTTACTCTTCCGCAGAATGCATTAAACTAAAGATAACACTTGATAGAGTGTTATCACAGACAAGAGGCAGTGATGGCAGGGGATAAACACTTTAAATGGCCTGGGATGTGCAGCACCATCCCAAATTAAAAACCTGTTTATAACAGATGGCAGTAAATGTGGTGTGCAGAAAGACTTGGAAAATGCTGACACAGTGGGAAAGCAGAAAGATGACAGACAAAACAGGAACGACCCTAGGACATACACAAAAACACTGGAAGGTACTGCCTTCCAGGAATACAAAACTACTGACTTTGCATTATTCACCATCTCCCAAATTAAGTAAACTAGGCATTTTTGTAAGTTAATTAAAGAGTGAGGGAATGCGTAGCTCAGCACTGGGGAAAAAATTCATTTACCTCATTGACCTTTAAATATTTGTTTGAGCAACTGATTTCAGATTCAGAAGCTGTTCTGGGGTCCTATTCTTATAAATGCAGTTTGTCTGAAAGGTGGTGCTGATGGTGAAAGTTAATATAAATTTCAGCGTGAGTTGCTCGCTCTACATTGTCCAGGTCTCGTCTCCCACTCCGTCGAGGTTAGCCAAGTTTTGTCCCCGAAAACAAAGAGGGGTAAAGAGCCACCTCACGGGCAGCAGTACTGGGCATAGCCCTGGAAATGAGTTTGCCACCACTGGGTCTTGGAAACAGCCACCAGCAGAACTGCACAGCCCGGGTGTGAAAAGACATACAAGTGACCAGAAAGATGGGCCAGCCCCTCCGACACCTTTAATTTCATGTCTTCCCTTGGTGGCGGAGGTTTGGAGGCAGGAAAACACTGACTGCCTCAGAGCCTGGACCTCATTCACAGCACAAAGGCTCCTCCACTAAGCTCTTCCCAGTTTTTTGCCATTGCAATTCCGTTGAGAGCTGATCTGTATGTGTTGGCTCCATGAGACAGCCCACTGCCTTTCCTCTTGCGTCGCGATCCTGTACCACGAAGAAAAACATAGGCAGCTTACAGAAAATGAGCCACTGCTTTGGCATTTCTGTAACACGCACATAAACCTACATTGGGCTGGAAATCTTGCAGCATAAAAGGCTGCCTGATTTGCCTTGACCTTCCAAGTCCTGTACCTGTGATTCCAGGATCAAATCAACACATTGGTTGAAACCTAGCTACCAACAGGCTAATCTCCAGCCATCCCCTGAAGCAGCCTGGGCTTCCTCGTTGGTATCTCTCTCTAGGGAAGGGGAAAACTTATTTACATTTCTGTGCCACCAACTGACCCAAGCTTTTCTCCTGCACTTTAAAAGCTGGTGCACAGGAGTTTGTACTTCCAAAATCTGCCTGGAATGGTGTACACTTCACCCTTGGGAATATTATTCTGCAAGACCTGATTGAAATCAACCATGGCTTTGCTGGACTTCAGGGCTATGTATTTACGTTTGGGAAACACGCAAGGCTTGGGATGAGCCACGTATAGGTGGGCAAGTGCATACCCTCTCCCCTACAAGTGAAGGTGCGCAGCCCACCAGTGTGTGACAGGGACCTGGAAATTCACAACCCCCTTTGCTGGCTTTTGGAGAAGCAAGATAGTACAAGGAAGTACATGTGAGACTAGTGAGACAGTACGGCTAAAGATGGTGGAAGCCAGGTGGATGCCAAGCTGCATCCCTGGGTCTTCATGGGGCAGGGCAGTTGCTGCTAAGCAGGAAGGCATGCAGCGTTCCTGAACCCATCACACTGCAAGGCCCACCACCCCTGGGACCTCCCTTACCCGGTAATGGGTGCTGTTCTGCCCAGAAGACAGCTCAGCCAAGCGGATAAATGTCCAGGACATCAAATTCAAGGAGGCTCAGTACACCTTCGCCACTTGCCACTGGTGCTGTCAACACAGGGTGTCATCTCCCTGGTTGTTTCTCCATGTAAAACAACAGGAGTGGCGACAACCTGCTGGTGGGCAACAACAAGAGCCACAGCTGGAAACACCTCCATGGAGAGGTGAGCCATGGTGGCCACCACAAAGAGCCTGGAACCATGCAAAGGGCAAGTGGCAGCACATGCCAGGGTGGGGACTCCTGTGCCCTCCCTGGCCCTGATGCCCTACTCGGGATCCTGTTGAGCATCACCCAGAAGTGCTCATCGGGGCTGTAGGTGTCTTCAGATTGCGCCAGCAGATCAATGGCACGCTGGTCCTGCAGTACGAATGCCACGAAGGGCTGGGTGATGGCCACGTATGCGGAGCCAAAGTAGATGGTGAGGTTGTGGGGTGGGGGTGCCCTGTGCAGCTAAGGGGTGACCAGCCCTGCATTGTTGTGCCCGACACCCTCCCTGTGCATGTATTTGGTGCGTGCAGTGATGTCAGGGGGCGGCAACACCTTGGGGGTGACATTCTTCCCCCTGAGACCCTTCAGCAGCTGGACGATCTCCCGGTTGGTCTTCAAGGGGAAGTCCTGGCCGCAGGTGTTGAGCAAGTAGCGCCAGGGCATGGCTGAGGCCAAGAGGTCTCTCATGCAGTGGAGGTCAGCCCACAGGCGGGAGGTGCCACCATAGACCACAGCAAGGAACGCGTTGGGGAAGCAGCCCACCAGGCGCCGCATTGCCTGCCGGAAGGGAGCCGGTGCCTTGGCATCCACATGGACACAGTATACATTTTGGGGCACATACACCACCCTGAAGAGTCACTCAAAGGTCTGGAGCTCCTTGTGCAGGGTCATGGTGTAGGTGAGGGGGAAGGCAGCCTCCTCGGCCAAGAGGGCACAGGTG